ATTTAAGCCTTTGAGTAAAACCAGAGCATGTGCTATTATTGAAATGAAAAAAATCAGCTTATGAAGTACTCCCTCATTCTTCTAGGCATTTTAAGGATTAGTTTTCTAGGATACTGCACTATATAGAGATGATGCTGATCTCCACCTGCTCAGTATGCAAAGGGCCTGTTCAGCCACAAGATGAGGTGACTGAGAGGGGACCTCATCAATGTCCATCAGTATCCGAAGGGAAAGTGTCAAGAGGATGGAGCCAGGCTCTGCTGAGTGGTGCCAAACAATAGGACAAGAGAAAATGGTCAGAAACTGATGCACAGGAAGTTCCACCTGAACATGAGGAAGAACTTCTTTCCTGTGTGGGTGACCACGCACTGGAACAGACTGCCCAGAGAGCTTGTGGAATCTCCCTCACTGGAGATACTCAATTATTCTATTCCCCCTATACAGAATGCAGGATTTGAAGAAAACAAGTATAGTCAATTCCAGTATGGCTTCCTCAGTTTGTTTACATTCTTTAAAAAGTCCTTTGTTTTCACCTCAGCTAAAGAAGCAATTTTAGATTTATGCTTTTACAACTCAGTGTTTTCAAACACTCCCTGTGATCTGAAGAGATCTGAAACTTTTATGTCTCAAGAAAGCTTTGCTTTCAGACCCTATTTTCTGCAATTTCCAAGAATTAGCAATCCACAAGATGTCCCCAGTGCTTAAAACAGACACTTAAAGTCACTAGACTCATTAGGAATGGCTAGAGCACCTTGTTGGTACATCTTCATTGCATCAATGTTAAATTTCATTACAGGATATTAAACAAACTTTCCTTTGGTCAGTGGTTACCGTAGTTCCTCATGGAGTGGGAATGATCTGTCAAGTGCTTAGAAGAGAGGAAAAGTCTCTACAACACAGCTGGTTGAGATCTGATAGTCACCCATCATTTGCTCACTTTTGTTTTTAAGGAGTGGAAGGATTGCAGACTTTCTTGATGCCTCATTTTAAGTCTTAGAAGAGCCCAGTTCCATCCTCTTGAAATCTTCCCTTCAGATACTTAAGTGCATTGAGGAGATCTCCTCTCAGTCATCTCTTCTTGAGGCTGGACAGGCCCTTTGCAAAGATGGAGACCAAAGCTGAAAGCTTTGATCATGCCTAAAGGTGGAAATCATCATCATCTCTACACATTACAGTGTCGTAACTCTGGCTTTCTGGGATTTGTAATAAAAACAGTCTAATGATAATTTTACCGATGGTGTCTTTGCATATTAAAAATACTCTTCTCTTTGGTTGCCCTGTTAAATAAGGACTGACCAGATGGACAATTTTCTTTCTCTCCTGGGTAAGTTACATCTAATTAAAAAGCTGTTCCCTCCTTCTACTCCTACCCTGCATGATACACATCATCCAGCTGTCAGCACTGGAAATTTCAGCAAAGCTCACCAAGATTTGGATAAAACTTGCTGTTGTTGTTTGTGGGATTTTTCACCCCCAGAGAGGAAGGGAGCCAAAGTTCCAACTGAACAAAATAAAATTAAAATTAGATCAGGTTTTTTTGTCTCAGTGGCATGTGCTATGGTATATAATGTATGTTCCCTGCTTCACAAAGGAAATGAAAAAATGAACTTATATGACTGATGAAATAAAGATATCAAAGTATTACTTGTCCCAGCTGCTATGTGCACTTCACATATAATTACTATTTAATATCTTTGTTTCCTACAAACCAGGAAAAAAGCTTACCCTCACTCCCAATTCCCTCTCCTTGTAAATAAGCTGATGCAGAATATTCTAGATTTGCAGTTTCTACTTGACTTTCTTCTTGAATTTATTCTCTTCTTTGCAAAGTAATGTGGTCTACAAAATGAAGCTATTTAAAATCCTAAATGAATAAGTGTTATAAAAATAATAAATTAGTATACAAGACTGACTTGCACAAAACATATGTTATACTCTGAAATATATTTAGACGTGAGTGCATAATTGCCTGTTCCTTTTCTAATGGCCTGAAGCACAGTGCTAAATCTGAACTTTTCCCAAAGTCTGTGCAGCAAAGGAGTGCCGCCCCCTCCACAGCTCCCAGCTGAGCTCAGGTCCTCTGCATTTCATGTGCTGTCTGCAGCACTGCCAACCAGCTGCAGCAGCCCTGATAAATCTCACCTGACCACAGGAACTAAACAGCAGCAAACTGTCATCAGGAAACATCTGGGAAAGATGGAGGAGAGGGGCAGTGGAAGTGCCAGTCAGGCAAAGGGCAGCCCACGTAGGAGACCACACCATGAGCGCTTCCAGCTCCCTGGGGGTGGGGGTGCAGGTCCTGCCACACCAGCCTCTGACCTGAGGCCAGACCATGTTATTCCCTGTATCCCCCTGTGTTTGGCTCTCTCAGGGGCTCAGTACTGGCATAAGCCCCGTGATGCTTGTGGCTCTGCCCAGCCTTCTTCCAAGCACAGCAGGGGCCCAGGAGCCTCACTCCAGCTCTGCTGGTCTCCAGCCCTGCCTATGCAATGGACCTTGGACCTGCACTGTTGGTAACAGTCTCCTGGATGGGCCCCTGGACATGCCTTGTTGTCTGTCTCCAGCCCAGTTCCCTGCTGCTCCTGATGGGATCCTCGGCCCAGGTTCAACCCCTCACATCACTTGGGGCTGCCAACACACCAATACTTGGCTGGTACCAGCAGCCTCTGTAGGTGGAGTGAGAGACGAGGCTCTGGGTCGTGTTGGGGGAACAGACACAGACTGAATATAACTCGTGTCACCAAGGAGTTAACAAAGACAACTAGTTGCTCTGAAACACTGAGCCTTCTGCTTATTCCTTGAAAAAAAACCACCCCAAAACCAGAATCATCTTTATTTGGATGTGTTTACAGACTATTACTTTTTTCTTTTTTTCCAAAAAAGTATTACAGGTTTCAACAGAAAAAATGTATAAAATTACTTTCCAAGCCAGCTTCTCCCCAAAACACTGCTTGGCCTGGAGTTGCACAGTACTTAACATCAGTGTGTTTATAATGTTCATGGAAAAGGGAAGTGGGTCTCCTTGACTTCTCAGGAAGCCGAACCTCTCCCTCTGCAAATGGAGCCTGTTACCTTTGAAGTGAAGTAACCAGCAACAGCCCCTGTGCACATCAGAACAAAGGGGGGCTGTCAACAGAATTCCTCCTGGCAAGTTCATTAATTAACACAGAGGTGTTCTCAGAGGTGAGACTCACCTTACACAGTGAGGTGGCAAAGCTGGACCTCCGTTAATCTTAAGGAACTACACAGAGTCCTTCACCTAGAAACTAAAGCATCTCCAAAACCAGATTGTATCTTCATCCTAAATGTCCAAAAGTCAACCAACAACAAAAAAGGATACTTTGCAAGTGGCATTACTTTCTAATATGAAAGTATGGAAATGCACACCAACACTTATACTGCTAGAGCTAAACAGCAGCAAAATCCAGTGTGTGGTTGCTGGGAGAGCATAGCAAAGGGTCAGCCTGGCAAGCACCTGGTGGGAGCTGACTTCAAATAACAGGCTTTATATTTCTGAAAGCTGAGCAGTAGAATTTTCCTCTCAATCTGCAAACAGGCACTGAATTTTTCCTTGGTGAAACTGGCAATGAACTCAGAGGGAAACCCACAGCAAAAAGGGCCACTTTTCAGGAAAACAAACATGAAAATAGTATTACAGCTCAGCCTCATTTTCTGTGAAGAGACCTAAAGCAGAAAAAAACAGAGAACCTCAGATGAACCACTTCCTGAGAAATTAAGGCCCATTTTTAGTACCGAGCATTGCATATAGGATTTTGCTTTCTGTATATGTTGGTTTTCTGATTTTTTTCCTAATCAGCTTTCCTATCTGTCCAAGGTGGTTTGTAGCATGCTAGTGACTCAGGTGGTATAACCAGATAAATAACTGAGTTATTTCTTTATAATAAATCTTTTTGTAATAAATGTACCTTGTAGCCTGATTTACAGCAAAATCCTCCTACTCTTACTTCCATGATGAGACCTACTTAAGTCAGTGAGACTAGTCATGACGATAATTAAGTTTTTAGTACAACTCTGGTTAGTGAGCAGAATGCAGTTCTGATATAATGAATCCACCAGCTCCAGACTGATATTCAAAAGGTGATGATGATTTCAGTATTATTCTTAATGTTCGCTGAGAAAAGTACATTTTTTTCACATCAAAGCATTAAACCCCATATAGGACATAATTCAACTCACCTTTTAAATTAAAGAATTGCTTCTAGAATGGCAAAGTTGAAGTTTAGCCAGCAGTGACACCTGCAAATTGACAGTCAACCCCCCCTACGTTAAAATGGAAAGATTTGCATGCATGTGTTTTAAAATGACAGGAGACAGGAATGGGAGCTTCTAAGCAAGTTAGACTAAAATTTTAAGAGTGAAATGGCTAAAAATAGGCCCCTGAATGCATAGTTAGGCACCTATATAGAGACTGCTTGATTTTCAGTTGTTCTGATCACCCAGAGCTCCCATTAACTTCAGGAGCAACTGTGGATACTCAGCTGCTCTAGAAATCAAGCCACTTTTATTCAAGGGTCTAAATATGGATGTCTGTGCCCAAGTTTGAGGGGAAAGATACAAAAAATAAAAAAGAGGTGGTTTTTTTAGATACAGTAGGCATTTTATAAAAGACAGTAATAGCCAAGTTTCATTCTTCTTTCCAGTTATAATGCTTGAAATCGAATCAACATAACAATTAATAGTGCAACACATTTGTGCCAGAAGATTTTGTCTGAGGTGAATGGAAATCTATTTCAAGATCAGTAGCTCTTAATTAGCAATCTGAAACATTCCATAGATTCCTCATATTCTGTGACTGCAAAATGTTACCAGGCCACCTAAATCTCTTTCACAGTATTTCAGTGTTGCCATTAATAAGCTTTTCAGCCTGGTCTGAGGAACTTTGGAAGATTAACTTTGCAAACCTGTAAGTATTAACTATTTAACTATTTCAGAAATACCTTTTTTTTTGCTTTTGGATCAAGTACAACCAGCAGACTTGAGCATATTTTTAAATACTATAAAATATGAAGAAGGGAGAATTAGGCCTTTCATTCCATCATATGCACTTGGTTGTCAGAAGACTTTCGAATGCTGTTTGCTTAAAGACCTCTTTTGTGAAAGTAATCCTGAGCTGATTTTGTGTCTAAGCCATTGCCAGTTCATGCTGAAGTGGATAAGAGCCAGTCACATGATAGAAAATCTGCAAGAAAAGAAGAAAATTTATGATGGAATTATATATAACTATAAAACTGAAAGTGTCAAGGAAGTAACAAATTAAAGGCATGCCAGATGAAGATGATAGATATTTGTTTGTGTGTGTGTGCATAAAATATGATGTAATATACCTTTATATATTTGTTTGTAGAATATGAACTACAGCAGCTCTTGCTGCTGTGTTTGGGAAAAAAAAGTAAAAAGGAAAGACTCTTGTTGCTTTTCAAAAAGAGCCAGGTAGAAGCCAATGCTTTTATCTGCCATCTGATTTTGATGATTTCAGTGTTTCTTTTATTGAATATAATGATTGGGACATTTTATCTTCCATGATTTTACTATAGCAGATATATATAGTGTGCAATCCCTGGCATACAAAAGGATACAACCCTTAAGAAATCAGAAGCAATCGTGTGACACAATCACTGGCTGTGTCCTAAAACTCAGCAGCGATGGTAGTGGCAATGAGAAAGCTCATGCTGCTTTGTCATAACCAAGAACATAATTTTAGGTCAAGAGTGAGGCAGAGGAAGTCTGGCAATGAAGCAAGACAATATTATTCTCATTGCAGGAGTGAGTTTTCAACAGTCACAAATATAACTGACATCTCTCAAATGTTCTATATTTCTTAAGACATGTCAGTATTTCAGTTGCTAGAAAGGTGGGGAAAGGGAACAGACTGGTGCTTGTCTCCTCCCTCAAAACTCACGTTTTCCCAGCATCAACACCACAAGGACTCTCAAACTTTTACTTGGTTAATGTTAGTATCACCTTACCTCCTGGGTTCAGTGAACATGGGATTGAAGTTCAGAAGCCTTAATGTTTCGGTAGTTCCTATAACCCTACAGTGTTCCCAACTATGCTGCATCTTTCAGGGTTGATACCCTGTGCTAGTGATGTAGGTCATGGGTAGATAGGTCAGAACCCCTCTTCCCATAGCAAACTTCTTCCTCAGGAAATAACATGTAAAAGCTTCTCTATCAGCAGCATATTTATGAGATGCAACTTTCTCCACAGCATGGAAATATATTGTGAACAGTTGTGCTACAGTGACATAAAGGGTCTGAGAGGTATTTTGAGGGTCAGTTGAACTGGCAACAGCTGGGAGTGCAGGGAGTGCACTGCCATGCATTTGCAAAAGACTCCATACTTGTACAAACTGAGGCTCTTTGCTCACTGCATTGCAAACCGACAATGGTCAGCTGCTGGAATATCAGATGTCTGTGATGACAGGCCATATTTAAAGAAACACATCATTAAGAATGAATCAGATGTATGTTCTACATGTTCAAAATCAGTAAGCCAGCATATCTAGAAAGATGACTTTATCTCCACAAGTTGAAAGCTATCAACAACTAACCTGTTGCTCAATGTCTCCCAGCAAACTACTGGCACCAAGGCGAAAGAGCTCTGGTGTCAGCCATTCCACTCCCAGCTCGTCCTTCACCAGCATAAGCCAAGTAATAGCTTCTTTTGCTGTCCGAATGCCCCCAGCAGGTTTAAATCCAACCTTTACACAGGGGGTAAAAAAAAAAAAGTTCAATACACATTTTCATTTTCATTCATCAGCAACACTAGGAAGAGCAATCAATGTTTGTACACCTGAAGTCTCACAGTGTCTGTGGTGTGTGTAACAACTCTGCCCAGTAAGGACCTGACTGCAAAGAGGATAAGCTCTAGCACTGAGAGCTATCAAGCCTCAGCCATCACTGTGAAAGATAACATTCTCATTCTGAGGGAGTAATACTATTGAACCCCGTGCACTTTCTCAGGAGCTCAGTTTGAGGACTAATGGGACTACTTTGCCCACTGCACATACCAGGCCAAGGGATTTAGCCCAGACCTGGGACATCTGCACAATCACCTACTGCCCATGTCACAATCTAATTCCAAATACGTAACAACTAATACACATGCAATAACACTAAAGATGCTGAATTAAAGCATGTGAGGCAGCCGACTCGTGGACAGCAGTGAGAGATGGCTGTACTTCATAAAAACCCTGTGCACCAGAGCTGCATGTGATTTGGCTGTACATTCGAACCTATCAGAGGTTTAATTTTCACTAAAGTTTTCCAAATGGGAATTAAATTAAGTTTGTCTTTATCAAAAATCAAAAGCTTTGTGCTTCACAGAAACTGCAGAACTCCTCTCCCACGTTGGATATGCTTTCAGTCACTTGATGTGAGATAAGTGTCATATTTGGTCAGGTGACCTGCCATGTACTAGAGGCACACATGCCAAGTAAAGCCTATCTCTGGGGTAAAGCACATCTTGAATCCTATGATGGACCTGTTGTGCAGAGCCAGCACTGAGGTGACTTGGCATATACCCCTAATGCCAGTCTTTCATGTGCCATTTAAACACATCTCATTCCGAAACACAGCTTGTGATACACAGCTATCAAAAATTTGCGTTAGTTAAAATGTTGGCCTTTAGCAGCTAACTAAACTCTTGGAAAACAAGGAGAAGTAGGAAAAAATGTTTCTGCATTAAAAACAAAAAAAAGCAAATCAGAACAATATGAGGAACACAGCAATTCTTCCTATGTTTCCCTCTGCCATAAACCTCCACCTTCTGCAAGAATTACCGCTTTGCTTTTTACATACAAGCTTCTGAAACCTCACTGCATTGAGGATTTCTTTGTACCTTATGGATAAAATAGTGGAATCTGAAAGTATCTGGTTTTAAATGTGTTTGGTAATCTTTATATAGTGATTTCAGGACCAACAAACACAGAATAAATCCTTCTCTCTCACACTAGAGCACTGTGATAATGGCATATTTCGAATAACATTAAAAGAACAATAGCAGGAAAAGCATGATAAATCCAAACCACAAAGACTGTTGGTTTGTGGATGGACAGAGATGCGAGTGTACGCATCCATCTGTTAACATTAGTTTTCCAAAAACAATTTAAACCACAGCAACTGGAAAAGCATCTTCTAGATAATAAATGAAAATAGTTGGAATGTGTTTTCCCTCAGAAAGAGAAACTCTAATGAACTTCGAATTTAGATTTCTTCCTAGAAATGTTGCAGCTCTTTCAGGTAATCTGTGACAAAACTAAATTAAACTAAGTTAAGAAGAGAATTAAAAACATCATTCAGAATTCCTTGCCCTTTTAGCAAATTCTGAAAGCTCTCTTCTTTGCAAAAAAAAACCTGACAAAGACAAGCCTGTCCTCTCCTCCATTTACCAGCTTTCCTAACAGAACATCTGACTACCATAAAAACGCAAAAAGGAAGGGGGGTTGGAATTTAATTCAAGAGCAGTACAAAGTCCAGCTACCACTTTCCTGCTGTTTCGCTGCATTTCATTATTTTGCTTAATAAGTTCATCTCCTCAAGAATTTTCTCTTCACCTTACATTATTAAAAGTAATAAGTTTTTCTGGACTGGGGGTTTTCCCAACAGAAAAACCAATTTATGTATGTCCTTCAATAATGACAGGAAAAGATTATTTCCCATTATATTGCACACTTTTCATATCACCACCACGGCTTATCAGTCAATAAATGTTACTCTGCAACTTGCTCCTTTCCTTGAAGAAGTTTAATTTCTGTATTAACCTGTTTTTCCCAGGCAACGCCTTGCTAGAAAGCATCCCTACAGCAGCAAAATTAGTTTGTTAAAGAAACCATTTAGAAATCTCTTGGCACTGATAATATTGTCTTCATTTAATAAAAGTACACAAAGTCAGTTTACATCTAATTCACTGACACACACATGCACACAGACATAAGCACTTATTCTTAATAACACATTTTATACCATGAATGCATCCTTTTAAAGCAAAAGGTGAATTCAACATTTATATCCAATTATAAGGTACAAAGCTGTGCTAATGCAGCAGAGCCCAACTTCCAGCACGCAGCTTGTGTAAGCAGCACTGGTGCTGAGGTGAGTCACCCGGCCCCAGGGATCTGCCTCGTGTTGGTGCAGTCAGTGACAATGCTCCCACAAAAACAAGACTCTCAGAGATGCTCAAGCTGTTGTGTGGCAGAGAGAGATGCAGGCTGGGGAAGGGAGGAGTGAGGACAGCCCAGGGATCCATGCTGGCCTCATCTAGATGACTACAGAGAGCAGGCACATCTAACCTGCTGTCCTCAAGCTCCAACAGGCCCTGAAGACATTTCAGACCCTATCCCACTGCTCATCCCATGTCCTGACATTGTACCTTGAAAGGCCACCTGCAGAAGCGTAAACTGAAGAGGAAGGAAGGGTGGCCCAGAAATACGGAGAGACTCTTAGCTGGAGATATAATTCCCTTCCCTGAATCTGACGGTGCCAACAAAGCCCACTGCTGAACACCAGCACCAGATCTAACTGGCAGCCCCCACTTGTCTGTGGATAAAAGAGATGAGAGGTGGTTTAAGCTCTCCTGTTAACCCCCTCCTTTCTCAATGTCTCAACAGTTCATCGCTGTCTCTGCCATATGCTCCTCACTGCTTCTTCCCTCTAGTGACACCACTTAACAGTGACCTAACAGATAAACCTTGTCTACCAGGTTCTTGCAGTCCCTGTCCCTCCTTCCTTCCCTCCATCCCAGACAACAGGATACAACTGGATCTGCCTTCCTGTTCCCTTGGAAAGCCCCTCTGACAAGAGAGAGCAAAATTTATCCCTTGGGTTGCCAGAACAAAGTCAGAAAATACAGTTGTGCACACTGGACAGACTCTAAATTTCTATAGGTCTGCTGAGGTTTATGGGAGTTGGTCAATCACTACTAGCTTGAGATTTACCCTGTTATTAATGGAGATGACCATTTAAGTACCTTAAATGGTGAAACAAAATTCAAATTCAAATGCAGCAGGCAATGTATTCAGATTGTATGATCCTTTAGGGAACAAAGTAACGGTTATGCAAGGGAGAAAATCCAAAAGCATTTAAAAAAAAACAAACCAAAACAAGTATACAAATATTAGCAAATAAATCCTATTACATTGTTACTTCTTTCTGAGTGAGCCTGTTTGGTTAATTTTATAACGATTGGGAGAATTACCTTGATGCCAGTTTGCCAATAGTATTCTTTAATGGCTCGCATCATGACTATTCCAACCGGAAATGTTGCATTTTCCACCTCCTTTCCTGTAGATGTCTTTATAAAATCAGAACCTGGAAGGAAGCAAAAAGCTTTACAGTAGCCTCAGAACTAGAGTCACTCTGCACATAGAGAGTTCACACCCTCCAAAGATGTCGTCCTGCTTCACAGCAATTATGAAGCATTCCTTTGCATCCATGTGATGTCAGTGCTTACCTTGCTCTGGTCAAGACAGAGGAGGAGGACTATGCCCACATGGTTTCAGAGTAAGTCAGACATCCCAGAGGCTAAATGAACATCCCAGCTCCTGATTATTTGCTCTCAATGAGCTCAATGAGCTATCAAACCAACAACCTCTTCAGGACAGTCAAACATAATACATGGCTCCTGTACAGATACTCAATATATGTGTACCTATACATTAATAGCACTGTGTCTGACTAATCATGACAAGCGAAATTATTTCCTCAGAAAAAAATTTTCATATAAATCAACATTTTAGTATTTCCACAAGGATCTTTCTGAATAGAAATTATTTTCATCAGTTTTTTTAATTTAACATTGCATCTACTTAGCCATGGCCTGATACAATGAAGCAGCAAGGTCAAAACGTGTATTATTTGAAGAACAAAAGTTAGCCTTAGCTTAATTTTTTCTGGTATTGTGAACAACATTCTCCATGGTCTGTCTTAATACTTGTGTAACATTCTTGTGTACTCTTGCTGCTCTGCTTTGGCTTAAAATGAATCCTGTAGCACAGTAAAACAAAAAGCTAAGAAATTACCAAAAAAAAAGTGCTTTGCAGTGTAAGACTGTGCACTGACACAACAGCATGATAAAACTTCTTTCATTTCATTAGGACACACTTCATCCCTAGGAACCTACTTCTTAGAAAAGGTGTTCTGTGGGATCATTAATTATCAAAAGTAATTGGGAGAAGAAGAGGGATAATTCAAACATCGTGTAGTAGTGCATCATCCACTTAAGTCAATTGGAACTGCATCTGCTTCCACTTCAAATTTGGCTTAGGGTCCATTTTGTCTCTTATGTGAGTGATGATGCCTCTACAACATCCCCTAGAGTAAGGAAGCCAAGTTTCACTACTGGCTCAAACTGGAGAGTTGCCTAGGCTACATTCTGCCGGTGTGCTGCAGCACACTCCAGAGAGCTGTCTTCCCGAGGACACAGCTGACTGGCACACAGCTGGGTACCAGCCTGATGGGAAGTTAAGACAAAGCCAGGCATGTTTCTGTGTCCTGTGATTTAAACATAACAGAATGGTATCACCAACTCTGGGTTTTGTTAGACCATGGTTTTCTCTATAGGCTTCCTGACAAGACACCAACTCAGCCCACTGGTGATTAAGTCGTGCCCTCCTGTGACCATTTCCATTCTAAAGGAAAACAGTTGTTTGTGAAAAATATTCTGACTTCAGAGAAAGTGCAGCGTGCAAAAGAGGCAATTACTAGATGATTGAGCTTTGCAAAGAACAAAGCACACAGGAGAGACAATTGAGTTACACATTTCAGAGCTACTCCCTTCCAGAGAAACACTGCGGACATCTGATAGTCACATTAAAAAAAGGAACAGTGGAAGTGAAACTTCCACATTGCCAAATTATATTTTTAATTTCCCTTTTGAAATGTAGCACTTAAAGTCCTTCAGTGCAGTACTTTTTTTCTACTATAAGGTAAGTCAAAGCTTTTATAAGTCTTATAATTACAAGTCTCTATGGTACAGTTTCATTAAAAACTTTCATTAAACAACAGCTGCCCTTGTATATGGTCTTCTAATCAATTTGGTCAAACAGAATGACTTCTAATCAGCTGTTGATAAAAATAGAAGATGAAATTTTAATTCTAATAGATTAACCACAAACTCAAGATAGTCTTCAAAATCCATCTAGTTCTATTCTCCAGTGGATTTAACGACTATTCAGCAACTCATTACTAAATAGAACAAGATGAACATTTTCCAGTTCATTAAAGAAATGTACTATGTATTTTTGCATTGTCCTCATGATTCGTTACAGGGAGTCTTAATTACAAGATAATGGATAATGGTTATTAAATGCAGACTCCAGTAATGAAGCTCTATTCATTTGCGAGCCTCAGAGACTGCAAAGAGGGGAAAATAAAATTACTAGCTTCAAAAGATTAACGGATCAAATTATTATTCAATTTTGAAAATCTCATTCAGACTTCATAGAAACAAGAAGAGATTAAAAACTAGTATTAGTACAAAAGTAGTGCATTTATATATTTATTTTTAAATAATATCTTAAGGCTATTACCAGAATAATCAGTTCTAGATGTGATTATTAGACAAACATACAGCCAATTTAGTAGCATCCTCTAACAATGAAAACAATACATTTTTATTTCCTGAACAAATTTTTTTTTATGATACAAGAGCTTGCTAGCAGGACTGCATGCAGCCTCTTGCAGTAGAGAAAAGATGCACACTAGCAGAGAGAGCCACAATGAAAGGTGTTATTACCGTTTGGATTTCAGGAATGAAAGGGGGGATTTAAAAATCAAGTGTTACCAAAAAGGCACCTCATTAAGCAGACTTTATGCCAACCTTGTAATAATAACGAAGTATCATCAACTTCATCTATTTCTTATTCAAGTTTTCAAAAACAAGTCCAAGGAATGAAGTTCAATGGGAGTTTCATCTGGAAATTTAGGTGATGATTTAGAAACCTCAGTTTTATCACCCAACTTCTCATCTTCATCTTAATGTACACACTCAAAAAATCAAGGCTAAGGCTAAAATACATGCTCAGTGGCTTTCCCCTTCCTTAAAGTAAGTAAGGTTACATGATTCAATGAAGCATTATATCAAAGATTTTACAAAATGAGTTATTTGGGGGACATTTCTAGGCCCTGTGAGCCTGGAAAAAACACACTTTCTACTCTTTTCCAATGTATAACCACAACAGTACATTGCCTTTCAAGGCAGTGAGTCATATAAGACCCATTGAATCAGTAAAGAGTGGTGACATCAAAGCCTTTTTGAAACACAGAAACGTCACAGGCCTGTTTCAGGTGGGCTTGTGGCCAACCCAGTGACCCACTGGTGTGTGATGCGTTACAGCCCCACAGCCTGGCAAGCACCAACTGCAGCAGCTGGCTTTCAGCAGATGTAAATCTGAAGGAACCTTAGGAAATGGCCACAGTGCTGCAGTCTCTGTCTGAGAGGCTCACTCTGGTCAAAAGCAACTGAGCTCTCAGCACTGCTGGGAGCCAGACCACTTGCACTCCAGTCACAGGTCTTGTGTAATCAGGTGGAGTGTTTTCATTTACCCATAGAAACAGTTAGGTTGGAAAACCCCTTAAGTTCATCGAGTCTAGCTGTTAATACTGCCAAATCCATCAATAAACCTTGTCTCTAAGTGCCATATCTACACCTCTTTTAAATAGCTCTGAGGATGGTGACTCAACCACTTCCCTGGGCAGCCTGTTCCAGCGCTTGACAGCCCTTTTGGCTGTCAACCAGTCTTAACCCAGTTTGTCAACCTGGTCTGTTTAAGACATTAAATCTCCTCTTCCTTTACACTCTCACCCCCCATACAGTGACCCTCAGCCACTGCACTCCACCAAAGACCACTCAAAATAATCAAGCTGAATGTCCAGACACCAAAAAGATAGTCAGGGTCCTCATACCACACTGCCTGAATTCATATTGAGAGATCAGGATGAAGTCCATTAAATTATTTCTAGATACACAGCCTCATTTATGGTAGCACCTGAACAAAGGTGTCGAGCTGAGGTATACAGAAGTTGAGTGACTTGCCCAAGGTCTCTCAGTAAGCATTTGATAGGGCATAGATTGAATCCCCTGGTCTCCCAAAGGTCAGAAGAGCTTCCCTAACTGGCCTGCCCTATTTCTCTCTTCTACATCATCTCGAAACACTACAAAGCTTTCCAGTCCACAGAACACTGAAGCAGAGCATGAGAAGTGGAGAATCTTATTTAGATGACATCCAGGAAACACACTCTGATTCCATAATTAAGCAATAAGGAATAATAAGCAGTGTAGCAATCGTGGAGTAATCACAACCTTTTGGTTGTGAAGTGTTCCGAATGCCCTTGGGGAATGATTATCTCCTGATAACTGCAGAATTTTTGTTGTTGCCTTAGTCTTAATAAAGAACAAAGATGTGTCTGGCAGTTTTAAACAACAGTTTAGACAGAGATGCTTGCAAAGGGACAATTATGCCATGTTACTTTGCAAGTATTTGCAATGAGCACAAATGTATCTCAGTTGCTGCAATTCAGAAATAACAATATACAGTGACATAGGGCGAACACATACCCTTCCAAGCTTTCTAGGACTGATGGCAAAAAGAGGCATGCTGGTGAGAGGACCTGAAAAATCATCCACTGTTTCTGCTGACAAGGTAGCAATGATAAAATTGTACAGTAACAAATGTGCATAAAGTCCCATTAGCAAGTCCCATTTCTATTTTATGAGTACCTAAACTAAGGGTCTTCAGATTCACACACAATTAGCCTGGCTAGGGGTGACCAGGTTATCAACCCTCTGAAAATCAGAGGCAGGGCAAGATATAAAAGGCTAATGTAGTAGCTAATTCTTGGCAGTTGAGTCATCATAACTGTCCACTTAACGGTGGTGTCCTTATCCTACTCCAGTGGCAAGATAAAATACAATCCCTGCTATCTTAACTTTGCCATCGAGGAGAAGAGAATACAAAGCTGTTACAATTTACTTTAGAAGTAGCTCACCAAGCAGCTTTAGCTCCATCACATGAGGTCACAGTGCCAGACCACTTGGTTAGGAGACTAAGCGTGTTTTCACATGCCTGTATCTCAGCTACCATTTTGAAAAATGCTAGTTTATAACTTGGTCTGTTGTGGACTGCCCATTTTTTGCAATTCTTTTCCAAAAAGTGCCGGGGGGTTGGGGAATAATAATCCCATCATAGGGTTCCACATTTAATGCCTGTTTACAAATAAGACAAACTTTAGACCCATCGTATCATCTCAGCTTAGTTTTCAAGACTCAGAATGGATGCTTCCTTTCTTACATACTACCTCTATTAATAGGG